CCCCCAGCCACCACAGCCTCAACCTGCTGGGCTCCGGCGATCTTCCCGCCTCAGCCTTCCGAGTAGCCGGAATTACAGGCATGTGCTACCACACACGGCTGATTTTTTGATTTATTGTAGAGATGAGGTCTCGCTGTCCAGGCGGGTCTTGAACCTGTGGGCTCAGGCGATCCACTCACCTCAGCCTCCCAAAGGCACGGGATTACAGGCTGAGCCACCGAGCCCGGCCCAAATCCAGCTCTTACCCAGTAGGGACACCACATAACCAGTTACACTGGCTCTTTAGACCCTGCAAAGCGTATGTGCTCCACAGTCAACAGACGAGTCAAACTAGCACCTGATCCAAACCCGACAGAAATCTGCTTTCATGTTGCAAAAGCACTTGCTCAAATTAACAAAAATCATTTCTAGCGTTTTACGACCATTTAGAAAATTGAAACTGAGTGGCCAGTCCTCAAGGGCCCCTGCACTGGGTACGGGGAAGAGAAAACTAGATGACAAGGCATGAGGCTTAATAATACCACCACCTTCTTTCCTCTCGTACTTGACCCAGACTCTGTAATCACTCATGTCTCTGGACCCAATGTACTGCTATTATGATAGCAAACAAAATAAAGCATGGAGGATTGCTTTGGAATTAGTAAAATACTCTACATAAATACATGGTAATGTTATTTTTTTTTTTTAATCAAGGAAACACTTGCTGGAAGAGAGAAATTTCATCCTGTTTGGAATCTGTCAGGTCACTGTTAACAATTACCGTTGGAGCATGGATTGGTAAAGTGAATTTTGTTGCTTTTATTCTGCTCTATTCATTGTCTCCATCATTCTGCAAAAACCAGCCCCGTTTTCAGGGTCTTTTGTATATGCTATAGGATAATACTGGGTATGAAAGAGAGTTACACTATTAAGTCATGATAGAAGTGATTTACATAGATGCTTTCTTTTCTTTTTTATATACTCTCACACTTCAATTTTACTTATCTGTGCAAGAAGCCATATTTTCTCATATTTGAATTACTCAGGTTAAAAAGAACTATTATGAAGTTATATGAGCTATACATTTACGTAGTAATAAATAGAATTTGACTAGATAGCTTGAGTAGTCTATTAGTACTATACTTGAGAGGAACTCAGTTTAATATAAAATGTCTGTAAATATTTATATACAGAAGAATCTAAGTGGTACTCTAGAAGATGTTAGTCAGAATTAAGTAAAAAATACAGATGATACTTTTCAAGAGAAATATAGGCTCATTATCTCTGATACACTTTTCCAAATTGTAGATCCTTATATATATTTTATTAAATAAATTTAAAAAATTAAATTAGTGTATTTATGATGTGTTATTTGATATTACTAATATTTGGAAGGCATCTTTAAGCAATGAGATATTTTCCCTGAAAGCTTGTATGATTCTATTATTATTGCGGGCAATTTTTTTCCCTATAAATAGCAAAAATAGTTTAACAGTCCAGCCCAGGAGAACCTGTCAAGCAATTCATAACATGTTTTTAAGACTATTCCTCTATCTACAAGGAGAACTTGTCAAGCAATTCATAACATGTTTTTAAGACTATTCCTCTATCTACAAGGTAAAACTTGACCCTGATCATAAGGCTAATTCTTTGTTCTTTTCTGCTTTATAAATTTATGATCATGTGCACACTTAATTTTGTGTTTACCTATTGATTTATTTTCACCCCAAACAGAAAATGGCAATGAACACAGTTGCCTACTGTCTCCAGGGGGAATATGCGTTCATATCCAATCCTTCCTACTGATGTCCGTATAGGCCTCCTTTGACCAGTAGAAATCTGCATTATTTATGAAGGCATTTACTCTCCCGGAGTGTCCGCAAGTTGCAAAGAGAACATCCCACGAGATACACTTAAGTTTTCCATTTCCTCAAAACCTTCTGGCTGCAAGAAAAGCAAACGCTCTTAGGTCCTTACCTGCAGTGCACAACCATCGGGCCTGCGTCAGGAGGGTTACAGGTTTTGACTCTCCGTAAGAAAGCTAGGAAAGGTGTAGGGTGTTCTGGAACACCGTGATCAGGCCAGGCGGTGAACTGGAATTGTCTCACTTCTCTCTTCTCACTTGAACCATTCTGCGAAAGAGGAACACTGGCTGAAATTCTGTTTTCCTAGCCTCAGGTGGTAATGATGAATAACAGGAAAGTGGTAACACTAAAATGCGCTGTCTTAATTCCTTCCTCCCACCCTATATCCCTTGGGAAGACAGGCTCTTTGGAGATATGAACCCCAAGCTATTCGTAAATGACAAATATTGGCTCAGGAAGATAAAATTCTTAGCTGAGAAGCATTACATTCTTCAGGTTTAACGATCGGGAGTGCTCCTGTGATATTTTCCAGGAAGAACTAGTTGTTCTCCATCTATGCTTCATCGCTGAAACTTTCATTCAGAGCAAGAGTTTTACATTTACTGATACATCGCCAGACAAGAAGAAAAATTGCTGAGCGATAATGGAAGAATTATTTCATTCTTCACTGTTACCAGTGAGATCGAGATTTAAGGAAAGCCTTAAGAGATCTGACTGCTCAAAAGAAGCTTTCTTTAAATAATCGAGAGGGGAAGGGGAGGGAAGAAAAGTAAAAAGCAAACCTTGTAAAGTGCAAATGTTCGAACACAATATGTGGCCAGCTCCACAGTATCGAGTAGCGTCACTTGAACCAGCCCGTGGGTTTCTGTGCCTCTGCTGGGCCAGTACTGGTCACACTTCACCTACAAGAAACAAGTGACACATTCAGGGCAGAGGCTCATCAGCTTCTCTGTTAACCTCACTTTGAGTTGCTCTTGAGGGAAAACAGCTTTTCTGCATTTCATTTGAGGTCGATCTTTTTCTGGCAGGCGTTTTTGTTATCCCCATATATGTAAATCACTGCTCTGATGCCAACATAAACCACATTTTTCAAACTGGTAGGAAGACTAAGCAGTAACAGATTCAATTTTTCTGGAGAAAAATCAGTTGCAGACTGTTGCCGAGTAAAATAAAGACAGAGGCATTTGAAACTTCAGAGGTACTTGTAAAGAAGATTCACATTTGTTCTGGGATAGACATTATGAATCGCATCACAAAGATTACACTTAGGCATTTAAACTACATGGTAAGATAGTGTTAATCCATCAGGATTTAAAAGGCACAAGCTGTTTCATCATGAGCTATCATGATTTCCAAATATGCTTGTTTAAAGCAAAGTAGAAATAACTGGAAAATCTATCAAAGTATAATAAACAACATAAGCATTTTTTAAAAAAAATACAAGATAAATGTTATTTGTGTCCAAAGCAAATGAAACCTATAATGTCTGGGGGGGGCGGGGAGAGCTGTCTGTTCTTTAAAAACAGTCTCAGAGGGTCATACACTAGCAGTGCAAAGTTTAAATAATTTAAAATTCATTCATTTGAAATGAATAATCTATAATTTCTATGTAGAGTGGAACAGAAACACATACAAAGTATTCAACACAATTAGTTTAACACATAATAAAGAATAATTCCAAGTCTACAGTAAGCCTTAAATTTACAGAATGAATCTGTTGGGCATTCAACAGTGTAATGAAAAATGACAAACACAGCGATATTTTATTTTCTAGTAAGGCCACCGATGAGAATATAGCTACCCTTTCTATCTCAGATGTAAAAGAAAATCAAAAGAAGTCATTCTTGATAGAAAACACTAAAATGTATTTCTCTAGATGAAGAAAGCTCCTAGTAGTATTTTATATTAGGAAGCACAACTTCTGAAAAAGAACTGAAAGTCACAATCTTTGGATTTATTTATTTATTTTTTTGAGTTGGAGTCTCACTCTGTCGCCCAGACTGGAGTGCAGTGGCCGCTCCCGGCCACCGCAGCCTCGACCTGCTGGGCTCCGGCGATCCTTCCGCCTCAGCCTTCCGAGTAGCCGGAATTACAGGCATGCGCTACCACGCCCAGCTGATTTTTTGATTTATTGTAGAGATGAGGTCTTGCTGCCCAGGTGGGTCTCGAACCTGCGGGCTCAGGCAATCCACTCACTTCAGCCTCCCAAAGGCGCGGGATTACAGGCTGAGCCACCGAGCCCGGCACAATCTTTGGATTTAAACAAAGGCAACAAGGTTTTATTATTTTAGACATGAGAATGTTTGGGTCTAGAGGATAGAATTATTAGATAATGATTTGCTTTTATGTTTAATGTAAGTATTCCTAGCATTTGTGAAGAGGAATACAATTTTTTTATTTCACAGAGATGGCATGTGTTCCTCTGAGGACTCGGGTTCTTTCCATGTAGATACTGGTTTCTTTTTCTTTAAAAAAAGCACAATTTCATAGACAAGAAAAAGAAAGAAAGGAAGAAAGAAAAGCACTTTACAGTACAGTTACACAGTTTGAGACCACACAAACATCACTTTTTTGGTGAAAATCAAAGGGGTTCACAGTAAGATGAAAAGTGTGTCTTATGGGATTCAAAAATACTTTGCATGTGTCCTAGTTGCACAGACTATCCCTCTGTGTTTATATTTCCATCATTTGCTCTAACTCAAAGAGAAAACAACACAAAGGAAAGACAATTCTTCAAGAAGAATACTGCGGTAGCAGGACCAAGGGTGAATACCTCTGTATGTTCTCTGACCACCTGTTAAAACCCAGGTCGCATCAGACGTAGTTAGCAAAGACTGCTTGCTACCTGAATGTAACCAACACTACTTAAGTAGCCATGACTCAGACGGGGAAAAAAAATCATAAAAAATTAGGCCAAAGGTTTTGTTTTAAACCATGAAATAGATGTCAACTTGATGTCTTGCCACAGAGGACAAAAGTAACTGGAAGCACATGCTGTGATGTTCAAAAGGAAGCCAGCAATGTGTTGGGTTCAAGATTCAAGAGAGAAACTCCAACTCATTAACCGTTTCAGCTGGACAGCAACTCTTCCAACTTAAAACCAACGGATCATATCCCACCAGGACAAATATCACGTGTACCACCATGTGCCTCAAAACTGCACATTAATACAACAAAATCATGCATTGGGATCAGCTCAATGCACTGAACCAAACTGAGAATAATTATATTTTAAAGTTAGGAATTCATTATAATCAGACCTCTTAACGATATGATAAGACAAAAGAGACGATGGAAAGAACTGGAAGCCAGTCTTTACTTAACTTTTTGGAAAAAGTCCTCCATTATTTCATGACTCTCCATCTGCAAATCTGCTCCACCCTGAAGAAGCAGGAAAAACTAAGATTACACTAATCATTGTCACACTTCTAGTAATAAATTTGAAAATGCAGTTATTGTTGGCTTAGACTCTGACCCCTTTAGAAAAAAAACCAGCACAAAGCATTACTATAAGGAGCCAATGCTGTGAAAATCTCTAGCCTAACAGAAGAAAAAAAAAGGTTGCTTTTGTACTCAATTTAAATAATGCACTTTAATCTTATTCTTTACCAAAAGAAAAAAAATGTTTAAAACTCAACTGCAAAAACTGGGAGCAATTTCTTTTTTTAGACAATATATTTAAGCATTGCCATTTTCTCCCAAAAAATACTTCTCAAAGGGATCTTATGAAAAATAAATATCCTGACTTATATGAAAACAGACACATGGGCCTTAGCAGCTTTCCCTGAGCTTATCTGAACAGCGTACATTCCCTTGCTAGTAAGCATCTCAGCACTTCCTTTTTCGACCTCATTGTCCAAGTGGCCTGCACACACTCCTTTGATTTCAGAGGTCCGAAATGAAGCATTTAGGATTACTGAAAATATTAAGTCTTTCATTTTTAGCCACACACTCAACACGGAATTTCTGATGTCAACATTAGAGAGCAAGTATGTAGTGCAGTGAGGAAAAAAAAAAAAGAGAGAGAACAATAGAAATAATTTTTTTCCTAATTAACGAATGCAAATGAACTAGCTTGACTTTCCTCTCCTGAAACGTTTCACTTTGACAACAGTCCTTCCCTCACCCTTTTTCCCTGGGAAAACATCTCACAGGGTATTTCTAGAGAGAGTTACTGTTTGTTAGGCTTCACACATGAAGCTGTGTGTGAGAGGAGACATGAAGGCTGCTCCCTTGGAGTATGTGAGAACCAGAAGGCAGGAGCCACTGAATGCAAACACTGATTTTTGCCTGTTTCTTTTTGCTTTTGAAGTAATGCAAACAGCCTTCAGGACGGACTCCTGGAAAGTCAGGCAGAGTCTCACCGGATGCCCAGGAAACTCTGTTTGCACGACCTAAGCCTAGCTGCCTCATCTGTGAAGTGGAACGATACTTCTGACATCACAGGGCTATCGTAGGGATTGAAAATGGTGTAGCTAACTAAAACACTTGACCCAAAGGCTTGCACAAACAGGTGTTCAACAAGCATTAGCTGTTCCTTGATTATCAGTCAGATTGCATTTCTGGATTTTGTGTGCGTGTGTGTGGTGGTTGTTACAAATTACTTAAGTCATTCTAAGTGTGAGAAAAGGGGAACAAGAGAGCAAAAAGAGAAACTCAGCAGATGTTGATTTAGAATTTTCTAGGTGCAAGCAAGGTGTTTGCAGCTTTGGGGACACGGAGGTGAAACGAAACAGTCAGTAAGGCTTAAGGGCTGGGGGCAGGGACTAAGTATGGAGGTGTGCTTAGACACCTGGTTCTTCAGTGAGGTAGTTGTAAGATTCTGAACAACTCACACTCAATCTGCCTGAGACGCAGCCTGTTGTGAGAAGACAACGTGCTAGGCTCTCAGGAGAAAAAGAACAGAACCTGTTACTCATGCTGTGCTTTAGAAACATCAGCCAGGCCAGCCTTGGTGGCTCAGTCTGTCATCCCAGCACTTTGGGAGGCCGAGGTGAGTGGATTGCCTGAGCCCAGGGGTTCGGGAGCAGACTGGGCAACTCGGTGAGATCTCATCTCTACAATAAGTCAAAAAATTAGCTGGGCATGGTGGCACGTGCCTGTAGTTCCAGCTATGTGGAAGGCTGAGGCAGAAGGATCGCCGGAGCCCAGCAGGTCGAGGCTGCAGTGACCTTAAGCACTGTGTCACTGCACTCCAGCCTGGGCAACAGAGTGAGAATCCGACTCAAAAAAAGAGAGAAAGAAACATCACCCAGTAACTCTGAGGCATAACACGAACGAGACAGTTCATATTTTTGGTTTGAATCTGAGACGGACTTTTTATTTTAGAGTCACAAAGTGATCACCCTTATGTGAAGCTTTCATTTTTCAAAAAATAATTTTGGAAAGAACAGGTTGCCCACTGTTAAATTAATGCTACGGAATTAACTTATGTAACCTTTTTTTATGACAAACTATCAAAAGTAAGTTGATGGAGTGATAAAACATATTTAAATGTGTTCGAAAGAAAATCTTGGTACTGCAAATATCTGGTAGGAATTGATCCAGCGGGACTGCCAAAGGTGCTTTGGGGGAAATACTCTTATTCTGGGCCACTTTTCACTCCGTGTGTATTCTCTTAGGAGCACATTGGAGCATGTGGTGCCAACTTTGTCATCCATTAACTGTGGTCTAAATTACCTAAAACATTCTAAAAACAAAATCTCCTCATTTTAATTTAATAAAGACTTACTGAGCCTGGTGATATGGCAAAGCATCGTAACTCCAACTGTAACACAAACCGATACCTCCGAAGGTTCTAGCATCACAGACCCAACTTGTACCTGCCATACCATACTTTGCAAAGCCTGCTCAGGATCAGATTATTTAGCTAAAGAAGGACTTAGAAGAGGCAATCAATGATATATGAGACACCCTCAATATTGCTAAAACTGACTACAAATCTATACTAGTATGTTTGGGCAGAGTGGTTGCTCAAGAGTCAGAATGTTTTTGTAAGGAGCAGACAGCAAGTATGCCAACAGTAGACAGCACACATCAACATTGTTTTTGAGAGTAAGGGACTGTCAGTCCTCATTTTATCAATACCTATTTAATGAGGGACACTGCAATAAAAGGAAGTTTTAGATACATAGCAGAATATATTTCAGTGGATAGAAAAATTAAATGTGGAATGGATGATTTCTACAGGTTATAATAATATCCTGGCAGTTTTTTATGTCCAAACTGAACACTTGACTGTCCTCAATAAGGACACAGATCATCAGAATGATTTCTTCTCTTTTAGCAATAGTGCCAATCCCTGTACTCAACTAATATTTGGATGTATCTATTCCCAAACGGCAAAAAAAAGGTCTGGTTTGTGTATTTTTCCCATTAATTCTATCCTTTTTTTTTTTTTTTGAGTTGGAGTCTCACTCTGTTGCCCAGTCTGGAGTGTAGTGGCACACTCACGGTCAACCCAGCATCGACCTGCTGGGCTCTGACAATCCTTCCGCCTCAGCCTTCCAAGTAGCCAGAACTACAGGTGCAAGCTACCACACCCAGCTAATTTTTAAATTTTATTATAGAGACGAGGTCTCGCCAAGTTTCCCGGGCTGGTCTCGAACCTGTGGGCTCAAGCAATCCACTCACGTCGACCACCTGCAGGCTCAAGCAATCCACTCACCTTGGCCACCCAAAATGCTGGGATGACAGGCTGAGCCACTGAACCTGGCCTAATTCTATCCTTACTGACCATTCTATAGTGGAGGATCAAGAGGCAATAAGATATTTGAAATGAGAGTGATATTGAAGAATTTGACCACTAGTACAGTAATAGCTTTTCATATTTCCACCATAAAGTTGAAAAAAAGTATTTTCTAAATAAACCAAATTATATGCCATAAAACTGTGTACCAAGTCCACCGGACCATTTGAATACTTTCCACACCATTTATTATTATTTTTTCAAGTTATTCTCTTTCGTTTGGTTTGTCTGCCAGAAATTCACATAGAGACTTCTCCAATGACTACCCCCAATTAAGTGGAAGTCATTAAGTCTCGGGTTTCTGGCACTTTATGATCACCGGAGGATACTGTTGTGAGGTACCCCTTCCTTATAGCCAGGTAGCACTTGGGTATCGCCTCTTGCCACACGGGTTGGGCCCTCAGAGTATCCACCTCAGCCCGAATCACTCCTAGGGAGTAGCTGGGAGCCTTACAGTCACTCTACTTCTGCCTTGGTTTTCCCAGTAGTTGTCTTTGACACCAGTGTCACCACCACCAAACAAGATCATTAGATGACTTAGCATGTCAACCAAAAGATAAATGCTGTGTGCCATCAGCCAGTGTCAATGCACTCCAATATTTTAAAAATAGTACAGCTATACTGGATACATACCAGCTACGCATCAGCCCTGTCTGACGGTCTCTGAATAGAGGACAGAGAAAAAAACATATACTGCACCCTAAACATCAGGAAACATAGAGATGAAGTCACACATCGAAAAACCTTAGAAAGAACCTAATCCAGCATGGGGGAGCTTTAGACATGAACGCAAAGAAGGGAATGAGGGACGCTTTGCACAAATTCATTGGAAACAGTTACGTCTCCTTCTCCCCGTTCAGCTCTTTACATAGACCATGAGTCCTCTCACTGTCTTTAAGATAAATGCTTTGAGCCAGGAACTGTAGGTTGCCATTCTAAGTAAAGAAGGTGGGGTGGGAAGAAGGTAGAAAATCCAGGCAGCTAATGAACAACAGAAAATTGGGGGGATTCCTTCTCTTTTATCTGACACTGTGTCTACTGACAGGAGAAAACCAAGAGTGTGGCGTTTGCTGGATAAGGACCCAAACATCCTTTAGGTTGCCAACACGAGCACCATGCTTTCTGTGGCCAGTGTCCTATTTACATGAAGTATCCACCACTTGTAAAAACAATCCTGTACATCAAGCAGACTCCAAAGGCAACGTCTGGGCTGCCGGTCCTGAAGTGGCTTCGGGAAAAAGCAGTTTCTGCTGTCCTAGATAGGCAGTGCTTTGGGCTACAGTTTGAGAGATTAAATGTTCAAGGCCTTTGGCGCTTCCAGTTCTGTTTGGAAAAGGACACAGACCTGGCATTTGGAAAGCATTTGCTCTCCATTAAACTCACAGAGCCTTGACAAACCAAAGAGGCCAAGAATGAGTCTGCCACTGGCCAAGGCTGGGTTTTCCAAAACCGATAACGGCAATGAGAACAGTAACACTGCCATTTATAATCTTCAGTGGGATTCTGTCAAAGTTTAACCCCAAAGGACCCCACAATCTGAAAAGAATCCCAAGCTTTGTTTTGCAGGAAAAGAGGAAAAATGACTGTAACTCCTTTTTGGCTGCTGCTTGCTCTGAATCGCCGTCTTAGCCAT